TTCACTATTAGTGTTAGACTTGGAAGTCCACAATGTGTGGTGTAACTACCAGTATATGAACTAATAATAATAAAGTCATGCTTTTGTTGTGCGGCAGTGGAGGCGCTAGTCCTGATTACAAGTCTCCAGTACGTGAGACACGTGTAAATATAGTATGTGTGCGCGTGGAAGGGGCAGAAATTAGTAGTGTTGTGCAGGGAAGTGTGCTGGGAATTTTGTCAACGTTTGTAGGGGAAAATCTTCGAATTCGGGAATTGTCATCCCTCTGAATGGAAACTCTTCGGCATAGTACAGAATATCACTGACTGCAGGACATTTGAAAAAATGTGCCTTTTGTGAATTATACGCTGGAGGGGCAGCATCATAATCTTTAGAAACAACTTCTACTCAGTGTTCTCACATTGCAATATTCTACTTGATCATGCTTTAAAAGTGGCCTGTACTGTGCTATTGCATGGCTCTATCCTGCTTACTGTCTTATTAGTAGCATATTTTGAGTGACAAGTGATGTGTCAGTTGATTGGTGCAAGTTTCGAAGGCACACTACGGCATGCGTTGTGTGCATGTTCATTGACTATTATTTTGTATTCTTTTTTTTTCATGGTTTGTGTGTAGCTTGCTGGACCACCGCCTTTGCTAGATTCGGCACCTTTGGCACAAAACATGATAAATGCAGAAAAGGAATTATGTCAAACCCGTCAAAAACATAAAAGCAAGCTTTTTTGAGAAGCAGTTAAATAATAAGTCAAGTAAAAATCTGTAACTTTATCTTTGCTTTACATTTGTATTTCTTGTAAAGCAAGTTGCTTAGAAGATATCGGCAATACAACCGTGTGATAAGGTTGGTACAGCATACTTCACAAGGGAAACCTTTTTTTAGGGTAAGATAGGATAGAGTGCACCTTTTATCCTTTTTTCTTCAAGCATACTGTACACCTATAAAGGTTTTTATCCTCAAGTACAAGCATGTAACCATGGAATGCTCATTCTTCTACACTCTTCAAAATGCTTAACATTGCCAAAACCTTGTGAGCATGCATGACTAATATGAGAAATATAGGCTATCCCAAACATGACATTTACACAGCTGTTCAGCCAAGCAGGTGTTTGGCTTGCAGGCATGTGGTGCTTATCTCGGAGCATCTTTTAAAGGGTAACATTGCATAGAGACAGCAGTGGCCTCACTGTCAGGCTGATGGGAATGTTACACTAATTACATCATTGGCTTATCTTACAGTGAATTGTTGACGTTCACTGTGGCCTGGAGGGGGACATTGTGTAACAGGCTTACTGGGCACAATAACATCCTCAGTTCCAAAAATACACCAATCAAACAAATGCAGAAAACTTATAAATTCAACAAATTGAATGGTTGAAAATAAATGGGTAGGCATAGTTTTACTCGCAAAGCAAGAATATTTGAGGAGGAGAAACTTCCAGGCGGCTGCAGTGCATAAGGGTGATCTGAAAGCGTAACAGAGGAATGAAGTTTACACAAAAACTTGACAGATGGTGCTTTTCGGCATGTTGCCATCTTTGACATGCGCTTATGTGGAATCATCGCTATAAAAGTCGCGACAGCGCCTTGTAGACTGTAAAATTTCTCAGATTTTTGTCTAACATCAGTTGGTAGACCTGACAGATATTTTGGCTGCAGTTACTAGTTGATACTGCCAGGATTATAGACCGTAGAGTGCTTGAAATGTGCTGCTAAATAGTCTTTAAGCAGACTGCGTCTGTCGCATGCTCATGCATGCGTAAGTGGCCTTGGGAGGGCAAGCTCCCAACAAGCGGCCTCACGAGCTTGTGTTCCTCGCGTTGTGCCGGCTATAGCCCCTGAAATTTCGCAAAAAAGCGACACTCCCCTCCACTGCTCCCGTTTTTCTTTTGTCTCCTCCTCGCTCTCACATTTTGAACGTGGCGCTACCTGCATAGCAGACGCCCTTTTGCAAAGAGAGTGCTTGCTCGGCAGGCAGCGTGCTGAGAGCATTCGGGCCAGCCGTCTAGCTCACCCTAAAATTATTTTGACGAGTGTAACGTTGGCCCATGACAGCTCTGTTTAGTGCCATGTGCAACGCGTACGTGTGATCAGGTCTTGATCGAGTCTATCAGCATCGCAATGACTGGATGTCAACTTTGTGCGCACGCACTCCACCTCTTAGTATCTATGTTCTTAAACGTAAAATGTAAAATTAAGTGAGAACTTTCTTTTTTTTTCTTGGCCCATTGTTTAGTGCGTCTCCGAATAAGTTTTACACTGTGAATAACATCGCTCAAACCTTCATGTGCGGCTGCTACGGCATACCTTTTTCATAGCTGGCGTCATAGCGCCCGAAGGAACAGTTCCTTACTCAGCGCATGGGTGGTGCAAGCTTTGCCGTATGTAGGGTACATAATATGTGCAGAGAGCATACACAGTGGCTGCCATGCTGTGGCTCGCGTTAAATCTGTCGAATCGGAATGGCAATGTCGCTGATGACCAATTTTACTGTTTGGTGAGGCATCTATGGCTTTCACATAAATAATGTGTCAGAAGGCGCACATCGTTTATAGGTAATATATTTGAACAGCTGTGGTTATTGCATGAAGTGGTTAGATGCACTAATCATATTTCAAAAGTGCACCTTGTGGACGTATTTCACAAACTATATCGCTGTAAGAATGAGCTAACATATTCCACTATACGGGATCACTTTGCGACAGCTCCAGTCGCGGATATAAACCTTCAGACAAAATAGCAAATAAACTATCACGCGAAATGGCATGTATGTGTGAAGTTCCTAAACAATGCATGCACCCAATGACTCGAACGCATGCACACTTTGCATAGTTGCCCTCGCATCGAGAGTCCCACGGCTGATCGTTCCAGGTAAAAGAGCCACGGGAGCAATTCGCACTGAAATATATATGAGCACGCAACAAAAACCAACAGTGAATACCAATCCTATTGTGAGTTGCTGCACTCCAGTTTTGTTTATTCAAAACAGCAGCCCAAAATCTCTGAATTTTCGCAATCACGATTTCAAACGTCTCTTCGCGTGCATGATAACCGCACAAACCAGTATTGCAATCTCAAACCAGTTGGCAGATAATGACAAGCATAGTACGCAAGCATGTATTGTTGACAAAAAAAAAAACAGCCCGTGTTTAAGCATTAATGAAACCTGAGTGAGAGATTGTGATGTCCGGCACAATTAACTGCAGCTTGTCTATGGCATTAGAGCAGGCATTGAACTGAGCAAACATCAAACCATACTCATAGTGAGAGACGCACAACTTAATTCGCCAAGTGGATTCGAAAATGTCTACCTGAAGTTACCACTTCTGATTCTATGCAAACATGTCTTTTGTCACAACTCGTTGCACTTAACGGGCGGTAGCATAAAAACCTTTAAGCGGTTTTTAGACTTGTTCTGGCATCAGAAAGTGCAATTGCCCACTGTAACGAACAGCAACGTCATTCTAGGGTGGAAAGTATTTCACATCACAACTTGCACGGAAGAGCAAGTTCGTACTTGTCAAAACAGATGCGCTGTGCCTCAAGGATTCTGTGTGTCAAGAGCAAGCATGGTAGTCGCAAGCGGGCGTAAACAATTGAACACTGTAAGCGGTCCCATGTGGCAAAATCTGGCCAATACTGACGTGGTGTTGGTCTCGGAGAGGTTGGAGGAGGGAGAAAAGAGAGGAGGCGTGTGAATAACCACATACGTCGCTACTTTACGAAGGTTCAAGTGAGGCTTGAGTGGCAACGAAGCTGCCTTGTCCAGCTCCTCGGCATCTGCGTGCACTTTTCATGCCGCGACAAAGGAGAGTGCTTTGAACATTCCGACGAGTGGTTCTTCAGGATGCGACAGAAGTGTGTTGTGCGAAACTGCTTATAGCAGGTAGGCATCATGCAAGGACAAGGTAATCGCCCTAAGAGTTTCTAGTGGCCCAAGGAGGTTGGAGGCATTGGCTCGTGCCATACCAAGGAAAGACTGAGAGCTACTGCCTCGTGACTATGTTTGCGAGAAGCACTCTTCGGACAGGGACCTAGACAGGGGGCGAACTAGGTGGCCAGTATTATTACCGGACACTGTGCCTTCAATATTTCCACGCTCGCGCATGTGCACACACACGAGGACAGAAAGAAAGAAAAATGAACTGGCCCTGGTGTTTCGTGCGAAAAGCATGCAAGGACAGATATATTAATGGCTCAAGGTAAACATGCCTGCTCATTTTATTTGTGTCTTGATTTTGTGGGGATGCGCATCGTCAATTTTTCATTCACAGTCAACTACGCCGATGTCGGCATTCCTGGGAAACAAGGGCTTTACCCTGTTGAGTAAAAATTTGGAGCCGGTGAGGTCGCACAGAACACACCTAAAGCTTGAACGGCGAATAAACAAGAGCTTGGGGAAAGTCGTGCGCGCATTTTTTTAAATTCACTAGCGGATTTTCACGACAGAGGGTGCATCAAAGTTGTGCCCGGTTTCGTAACTTTTTCGGAACACCCAAGCAGCTCGAGCCCAGTTTCGCCTCCTCAAGAATTCTTGCTCCATGGAAGTGATCATGGAGACGATTTGACGTGATGCTCTAACAATGGACGAGGTGGTGCAAATACGCTCTGAACATAATTGTCATTGCAAGTATGCTTAGTGATTCCTTATGTTATTACAATCATATTGTCCTGGCAAGCTGTTGGACGTTGCTGTCACGCAGCTCAGCAGCCATGTGTCTTGGAAATGCTGTACTTGTCACATGTGTGAGTCACCTTCCCTCCCTTCTTTTGTAATTGCAGGTTTTGTTTGAAGAAGAGGGTATGTGTGACTTCTTGCTTTGCACACACACACACACACACATCTTGTTGCACACTTAAAGCATGCCATTACTAGCCTCTGCTCCTGATTAGTGTGGCTGCACAAATTTAAGTAGTAACATGAGACCAGCAGGTGTTTCTGTGCAACACCTCATTTCTTGCCTTAGGTGCAACACAAGTAAGCCAGTCTTCTTTGTTGCAGCCCAGAGCGAAGTAGGCATGGCCAAAAGAAGAAGTCTAAAAGAACGCACCACAAATCGGTCGGCAGCAAGCCCCACAAGTCTCGGAAGGACGGCAAGGTGAGCTGTCTGTGGTTGCATATTCTTGTTAAAATCCGTTCACCCACCAAATCCTGCCAGTGCAGACACGTACCTAGCTTCTTAGCCATTGAATCATTGCTTCTTTCTACCTTCTGGCATTCAGGATGACCACCAGGTAACTGCCGCACATTACTCTTTATGCTGGCCAGGTCTCGCAGATTGTGTGCATGCTGCTGCTGTTTTTTCTCCTCTGATTAAACTGTGCCTTCTGTCTTGATGTCTTGGTCGCTTACCCGTAGGAGGCTGCTGGGCCAGCGTAAGTACTCTTTGCGCGTCAACAATAGTCTCCGTCTCAAGAGTGACTTGCAGCACCACCCAAGGCCTCCTTGTGTGTTTTGGCAATGCTAAGCTGTAAGAGCTGCTGCCTAGCTGGGCGGGAATGTGGTAGATGCCACTCTTGGTAGCTTGTGCCAAAACATCAACCTTTTAACTGCCTCAACAGTGCTGCAAGGAACTACTGAGGTCGAGCCTGCTACATTTTCTAGCTGCTGCCGTGTTGACAAACAGGCTGCCAGGTGTGCCATATTGCAATCGCTATAAGAGCACAACACAAACATAGCTATTGAAGACACAGACCAAATCTTGCTTACCTCCTTGCGCGATCCTAGTGCACTGCAACATGGCCATCCTGCATTGTTTCCCTGCCTACTATCACTTGTGCTTGTGGCTGCTGTCAAGCTTGCAGCCCTGTTATTCACCCGTCTCGGTTTTGTTTGAAGCATGTGTGACTTGTTGCTTTACACACACACACACATCTTGTTTTGAACTTAAGCACAGCTGCGGCTCCTGATAAGTGAATTACAGGATAGAAAAATGCTGAATGTCCCAATAAATAGAAACGTAGTGCATGCTCTTGAAAAAGCCAATCGTCTGCTCACTGTGAGCATGTATTCCAAACAGTGTTACTTCCATCACAGAGCTGGCAGACGTTTCGCACAATATTTATTGCAGTAGCTATTACAGTGGACTCTCAGTAAAAGGATAGCTCCTAAATGCAACAACTGCCACCACTTAAATTCTGCACCCCTGTGTGTCTCTCAGCAAACGGAACTCCTGTTAAACTGAACATGTTTTTGTGTTTCCAGGTTTCATTTAACCTTTCACTGCCAAGTGTCATGAATTCACAACATACCGGAGCAAGCAAGTCACGAAATGTGTGTTGCTTTTAATGCCGGCTGTCAAGTACTCTCGGGGAATGTAGCTTTCAGCATGAAAAATCTTGCACCGTCTCGTCTAAGGTATTTTACGCGCGAACCAATTGTCTTGTAGCTGATGGTGAAGAGTGTGAAGCACGTGCAACAGCTCCCCCTTCTTTGTTTTTTTCTCGCCTGGGTGATGTAAGTTCTGTTTTCAATAATTTTGTTTATTTGGTGTGTACACACCCAAGAGGTGGCATACAACATGTTACGTAGTTCTCAAGTACATTTTTTGTTGCAAGATTATCGCTTCTGTGGCATTTGCAGAATTCGCGACATACATAGAAGTATGCAACTGCTGAATCATTTAAAACTTGCTACTTCAGGCTGGAAAAGAAAATCTATTTTTATTTTGTGTGGCAGATTCATAATTCAGGCATGAAAGGGTTAATGAGAGTCTACTGCATACTGGCAGCACATGAAGAACAATCTATGTGCCATCCGGTAATCTTTTAATCCCTTCAACAGCCCAGTTCTCACCACTAAACTACCACTGTTGATAATGAAGAGGGAAACTTTGCATTTACTCAAACTCGCTTTATTGCATTGGTTTTTAAGAGTTCTGTACAGTAGAATCATGATGATAGACATGGGCTCACGAAAGTTATTTGTATCAGCTGAAATCGAGCATGCCAAATCAGTGTGCAGTGAACCGTGTCAAGAAGTGAAACCTGCCAAGTCCTGTTACATTTTACCCGAAATCTCTGCATTTGCGCTGAGCGTGCACCAAGACATGGTTGTAGACCTTTGGAGAAAAAAAAAAACTTTACCAATAATTTCGAGTGACCATAGAAGCACATTGGCAACTGCTATGTGGTTGAACTGGTGGCAAAGGGAATACTCCCATAACAATGAAGACTGCTGCATATTACATATCCTCTTACTACTGGACCATGCTGCTCAGCTACATTACAGTAATGCTGTAATACTTACAGTAATACTTACAGTAATAATCTAATCACCATCATCTGTTTGCGTCTCTTTCCTCATCGTCACCGTGTGTCATTACCATTGTCGTCGTGTAGGTGCGTGCTTGCCTATTTGTTTTCTGAAGTCTTGCCTCGAATAAACGCCATCGCAACCAAGTCATATTTCACCTGTTGTGGGCCAAGCTAAAGAGAAAAGTAACGCTGGATGAAACTGCAAGTAATTGGACAGAGGTCTTTCACTAGTGTAAATCTAGTTGTATTTTGCCTTTAGTGTGTGTCCCTTTAAGGGTTACAGTATGGTGTGCCTCTGGACAGCCAGTAGCCCCATCTTAGTCTTACTTGTATGCATTTCCATGGGACACGAAGGCTAAGGTCAGAAAATTTCATAACCACTGTCTTTCATTACTATGGTACACTTTTTTTTTTGGTGGGGATTGGGTGATTTTTCGGGATATAGCCGTGCCTGCACAATTGGAAGGATTGCACTAGTCTATGGGTCGCCTGGACAAATAAAATGAAATGGCAGGTAAAATATCTCTCTGCTTGGCCCGACTTCGTCTCTAAGTCCATTCACTTCCTCATTGAGTCATCATCATCATTCATTTTTCGTAGTACGTCCAACCGCAAGACATGGCTGGCTTTCATGAGCCAAGCAGCTGTAAACACAGATGAAGAGCAAGAATGGTGTGTTATACAACGCAGCAGCTCACATCGGCGCTTTGCGAGAAAAGGCGAGAAGACACACACAGGCTCATTATAGGGTCTTGCATACGTTTCTCGGTGGCTAAGTAAAGCTGATAACCAGCCAAAGCAGCAGCCTGGTGCACAGGCTCAGGTTCGAGTTCCTCACGTTTGTGTAAAATTTCTGTGGCTTGTCTGGCTGCACGGCCAACAACAGTTTGTATTTTCAAGGTGGTATAAGTTTTTACAAAGTGTTAGTGGTGCAAATCTGTTCACTATCCAGTGATGGAAGTGTTGCTCCAAACTGCTCCAAAATAGAAATGCTGCTCCAAAGTGCAATATTTGCTAGTAACTGCTCCAAACCTGCTCCGAAAGGATGTTGGCCAACTAAAAAGAATGAAGTTGAATCATGGGATCATCCCATGAGCCTAATCGAAACCAAAAGCAAGCTGTATACACTATTTCTAATATGCTACTCAGTGGCGTTAATTCAGAAAAATCGCAAGGGGTGACACATATCAAACCATGGTAGCCAATTTTTATATTTAATATGGGTTGTGTTTTTATTCATATGAAAATTAAACCATGCTTTCAAATAGAATTGAAAAAGTAAGCATGGGGCCCGAGTTTGAGTAATTGCATTGTTCTATTCAATCTATTTTTTTACCTTTTTTTCATTTTCATAGTTCACACAGCTGAGGGGCATTTAACACAGATACACAGCAACAGATAAAAAAGCCTTTCAAAAAGTTGATTGCACTATAATCAACTGTTAACTCAATTATATCATGTGCTAAAGCTAAATCTCAAGGGGGATACTTGCAAGGGGTGTCCTCCCCAGCCTGAACACAAAAAAGTCCGAACTCTTTTGACATCCCCTCCCCTCCCGCTCTTGTGATTTACGACAATTATACGTACTGCTTGTATTCTAGCTGCATACTAGCATATGACATGAATGTAAACATTCGACAGAAGTCTGTCTGGTTGGGTAATGCAACTGGGAGATGATTTAGACTCCAACCAAAAGTTTTGAAGAAACCCGACGTTTCGAAACAGACTTGGTTCCTTCCTCAGGGGTGACTGCGGGGCTGTGTAGCAGAGGCGTCTTCAAAGCATTCGCGGGGCCGATAATGACCCCCCCTCTCTCTCTCTCTTTCGTTTTGCCGTGGAGCGCAGTCCATTTGTATACACGGGTGGAAGGGTTCCGAGAGAGTGGTTGATGTTATGGGCTGTCCTCTGTATGTGCCACAACTCGAGTAATAACCTTCTCCTCCAGTTCGGCTCGCTTTCAAAGATGGCCGTCGCTTCGAAATTTATTCGGTGATCCAACTTCTCAGCATGTTAGGTGTGACTGCGCTGCCCTCTTTGTAGAGCTTCCGCACATCTGCTCCAAGAACACCAATAGCCACCCTAAGCTATAGCATTCTAATTTCCGCTCCGAAGTCACTTAATTAAGGCTGTTCCAAAGCACCATTTTTTCTGCTCCAGAATCTACACTGACTATTGCACTGTGGCATGTAGTAATTCTTGGCTGGGACCACGCATAAATTTGCATCATTCTGGGATTTATACAATCCGTAATTTTATCACGAGGATTACTGTTCTGCTCTTCAAGCTTTTGTAGCATGCCTTACATGTCAATATTATTGTTTTGTATATGAAACTACATTATTTTTTCAGGTGCTTTAGAACTGGGGCAATGAAAGGATTATTCTACTGGCTTACATTGCTGATGCTATAGAGCAGAAATCAACATTCTCCCTTCCCTTGTTCTAACACACCAGTGTAACCGACTAACTACCTTAGTTTGATCTAGCTATTATGATATTAGAGCAAGGTTTGTGATGGGGCCAGTTAGTTATCCACTGTCTACGAACAGTGGACCAAATAATACACAAGGACAGGTGCTGGCTTCCAACTGAGAATCTATGGAAAATGCTATATACCGCATTTACTTGCAAATGAACGCACTCGCATAGCAAACGCACCTCCAACTTCAGTCGTCATAATCTGGATTTTTTCGTTCTTCCATGTAATGAACACACCCCCTATATTTGTCCGTTGCACTCCCGCTAACCAACACCTTGCGCTTCTTTGTTGGATCTATTCAGTTTTTTATTATTATTTTTTATTATTATTTTATTATATTGTTATCCGTGCAGCACAGCGGCGTTCACAAACGGTGCAAGTGTGGAGACATCACATCTGAGAAGCACACAGAGTGCGGAGGTCTCCAAACTTTAAGGCCCGCCCACCTGCCAGTGATTTTCGAGCGACCATGACAGGGTTGGCTGTCGCCATGGCTGTTGCGAAGGGCCATTCATCGACATCACGTAGCAGGTTTTTAGTTAACGAGAAAAAATCATTTGTCACCCAGATAAGATCGTGAGGATTTCCACAACATGGTAGCACTCCCAATTCTCGCTTTGGTTGCAATTTGCTCTTCATTGTTGTTATCTGCGCGTACTTCAGGGAACGCTACATATAGGCTACCTTTTTTCAGTACTTTCTCGTGTGAACAGCGAGGTGGCAGCCGTATTTTGTCGTTAATCTTATTATTGACGGTTTGTTTTAATGCTTCGGTGGTAGCTTGGTGCAATGTCAATGGCGTCGTCATGGTAGTCGTGCGAGGTTGCCGCAAAGCTGGCGAAGTACATCGTAGCGCACGCTTCTGTCGGCCCCTTGAGATCACAGCAGATACCGCTGTTGCGGTTAAACGATTGCAAAAAAAGAAAGCCCCGAAACGTTTTTATGGAGTGCACGGACGGCGCAGGGACAGCTTGCAGAAGATAGCGCCTTCAACCGCCGAAGATGAGTGAACTGCAACAAAGCAGCTGTTTCCAAACAGTATACGCGTATGTCAATTGTGAATGGCTAAGTGGCTTAACTTTTTTTGTGTGTGTGTGTGTGTGTGTTACGATGTCTCTCGCTCCTCCTGAAGAAGTTTTCATAAAATCTGCCCCGCATAATGAATGGATTCCCAACTTTGACCCAATATTTCGAGAATAAGAAGTGCGTTCGTTACACAAGTAAATAGTATGGTAGATGCTTATCGTTTTATCGGTTGTAACGAATTTCACAGTATAAAAAAAGCACAAAAATCAAAGCAACGATGAGCAAAGCACATTTGTGTTCCATGTATTACGCAATTTATACATGGTATATACATCAAAGCAAACTATGCTCTTTATGGCTATGCTAAAATTTGTGACAATATTCTTTCAAGAATGAGCATATAAAATTCATTTTTAGTGTGCCCACACAGGCTGGCAACAAATGTTATAACACCAATGTTTGCTCATTCGAATCGCACAGACTTGAAATCACTGGCCGGAAAAATTGGCCGCCTCTAGGTAAGCCAGTCTTAAGTCATATTGGTCACGATGAGCATTTTGTTGCCTTTTGTACAAACTTTGCCATTGTGTTCCAAGTGAGCTGGAGCCGTACTCTCAGCAGATTACTAGATGGCAACCACATTTTTCAGAAGGCATATGACCAACAGCAAATGGAAGAAGGTGCGTACACAGGGTGCTTGTGGGGCCAGTTGTGTGGCTTTCATGATACGACCGGAGGGAGTAGACTTACGAGCATTCACCTTGTTCTTCCAATGGGCTCAGCCTACTCGGCTGCTGTTGTCTACTTCCAGCAAATAAACAGAACATGCTTAAAAAGAAATTTAAAGAGGCTATTTGCTGTTCAGATATGCCTGTGGTGCAAAGAGCGGTCTTTAATTAGGTGCATTGTTTACATCGACACGTTCTTTAAAAGTTCTATAGCAGAATATTGGACTTGATTTGACTAGAACACGTGTGATCCAGCCCACTTGGCTAGACCTTGGCTTGGCCCGCTCAATGTAATGATAGAGGGTTTGTGGTGGCAAGCTTGCCATGGCCGTTAAAAGCCGAGGAAATCCCAGTTTTAATACTCGCTTTCATTACATTTTTTTTTTTTTTTTTTTTTACTAAACGCGGCCCACAAAGAGGCACAATGAGTTCTAAGCATTTGAGCGAAAGACAGCAGTTGTCATAGGCGGAGAGTTTTCATGTTCTCGGATGGGGCAAGGTGCCAGATTTACTCTTCTACATTTATCTCTTTATTATATATATATATATATATCGCGTTGATCATAAAAGGGCCGTCTTCGGTTGCCTTAGATAATTAGGAAAAAGGTGTACGCTTGTCCAAAACTGTTTCTTGGTCGACATTTCGATTAGTGACCAAACTTCATCAAGACTGAAGATCGGTCTCCGATCGAAATGTCAACCAAGAAACAGTTTGGACAAGCGTAGACCTTTTTTCCTATTTATCTACGGCAACCGCTATTTATCTACGGCAACCGAAAATGGCCCTTTCATAATCTACGTGGTATATATATGACACTGAAAACCTGTCTGTTATATAAAACAAAACAAAAATGTCTGTTACACATTACAAAATTTTCACTTTCTTGATGTGTACATTCTGTACTTATTTTACACAACAGCCATGCAAATGCCGCAATTTTTTGTCATCCTGTGATTTTGTTTTCATTGCGACCAGGACGCCAGTCCCTACATGTCACTCACCTGTGATCTGAGTTTTAAGGGCCTGAAAGGAAGATGAGTGGGCATAAACAGTCCATTGGCAATGGATGAGAGCTTATGCCAAGCTGTTAAAAACATATTCAGGGCCAGTGCCCGGGGGGACTCTGCCTCCCATGAAGCATCTGGGAACCCCCAGCCCCCCTGTATGTATGGCAGCTATGCTTCCGTTTCCGGCACTGCCAACACATAGATCTGAACACATTAAGGAGCACCACGTGGTCAAAACTTCCAGAGCCCTCTGCTACAACTTGCCCAAGCGTCAATCCTTTCAAACCTTTTTTTGAGATCAGGCTTGTAAAATCCCATATATATTACTGCCAACATGATGAGCACTCAAGTGAACTCTTTAGACAAATTAGACCATATTTTAAAGAGTGAGCTGACATTTACTGCGTGTTGTACTGTCGGTAAAACTACTTGTCCTGCAGTGCAAACGCACAAGGCATGCTTGGAAAGATCAGTGCTGTTGCGATGTTCTATGCTATCTTAGCACACGCAGAATTCAAACTGAAATTTTATATTGGTGATTTGTCTTTGACAATGATTTGCATTAATACACGGTTAAAACGAAACTAGGAGAAGGCATGGATTCAGGTATTTTTCAAGGGTGTAGTCTGTCTAGCGTGGATGCTTGCTGCACTAGCAACGGTAAAATCTGTTTATTCACATTTTATGTGAATATTCCAGACAGCACTGTCATCAGCGTGTTGCGGCAGTATGTACACAAGCTTTCATAGGGATATACAGTCATTGCAGAGGGAGCACTCTTCTGCAGCCATGCATTGGCTCGCATACATGGGTGCTTCAAATAAGTGAACACAACATGCACTGCATTGAGTACTTCCATTTAGACAAGCATAGAGTGCTACTTGAAACTTGCATGAGCTTCTATTGATGGTTAAGTCAACTGTCTACTTTGCTTGATATAAAAATAACATGAGCATCAGCATGATCAAACTTCAATAGAAGTTTATGGAATGTGACAATTATTGCAACCTGACACTTGCATCTGCATGATTGATGGCTACAACGGTGAACAGCCAGCACAGGCCTTTTTCTGCACGTCTCGATTTCACTTCTCCTTTTTGTTCACAGCATTCATCTTGTGGGCACATCTCAGGTAACCAAGAAACCTGCACCACAAGCCAATATTTCTCGGGCAATAACAGAAGATCACAATATATCTGGTGTAGGCCAACTAGTAGTAATGTACTTGTGGCACGGCAGCCTGTTTGTCTGTGTGGCATTGAGAGTGTGCCTGATGTATGTGTCTGGGGGGGGGCGCTGCTGCAGCAGAAGCGGCACCGCGCTGAGGAACAACGACACAAGAAGCCACTGACTACTGGCGGGGGGGACAAGCACCGGAGGGGGACGCACAGTGGCGACAGCTCGGAGGAAAACAAGGCGCTCCTCCGCTCGTCCAGCAGTGACTCGGCTGGCCACCGCAGGAGGCTGTCCACCAAGAAGAAGCACAAGTCTCGCAGGGACACCAGTGAGGAATCGTCATCTGAGCAGTCGTCTTTGTCGTCTTCTTCCCAGGACGAGGAGCCACAGAGAAAGAGGTGGGTTGTTCTGGCTTGCATTTCCAATGACAAGCTGCAATTCAGGTTGTTTAGAGAAGCACATCTGAAAATTATCAAAAATAAAAAAATGGTATATTTTCCCACTGCCTGCCTGATTATTTTTTCTGTGGTCAGAGAGACCCCAAGATTAGGCTTAGCAATTACAATATTGATTAAATGAAATCAGTTAACTTCTGAACTAGCAGGGACAGGTGGCTGGGTCAAATGGGAGAATGGCTGTTTTTCCTGCTAGGAGGCTATTTGCCGCTTTGATATTTTGAGAAAGCGGCCTCTAGTAATTGTTGCTGTCAATGACAATGCCTGCTAGTTCTCATCAATGTTATTTCCAACAAAGAAAAACAAGCCCTTAAATTTTCCTTTTTTAATAGCGAGGGTCTTGTTCTGGTAGACTCTATACCTTCGGGTGGTATGCGAGGGATTATTGGAGAGCTGCCCGCTAGTTGTAGAAACATGTGTTACATGACGCCAACAGGCAGTAAAAGAGTGTTGCACACTCGTTGTCCTGGTTACTGGTGGCGCTGACTAACACATCCACATTTAAATGCACATATGCATCTCATATGGTAGACAGGGAATGACCTCTGCTGTAGCTCGGTTAATAGAGCAGCGTACGCATTATTCAAAAGTCACAGGTTCGGTCCCTGCCGACGGCAAGCTATTTTCTCGTCCACTTCTCTTTTTTCATATTTTGGGGGTCTCGCCGGCTGGTCAAACGATGAAATGCAACGCTGCCTCAAAGCTTGCAAAAACACTTATTTGTAAAGCGAATCACCAACAGCTAAGCTTACAGCTGAAAGTCCTCAAGGCCACGCATGCTGTTCACTGTTCAGCCTATGTCATGCTCGTGCTGCAATCCATGTGCACATACACTTCTCTAGTCTGTCGCCAACCCATCTGATAGTCTTGGCTGGTGCTTTTGTAGCGAATCTGGGATGCGCGCACTCCGATAGCACAGAACATGTTGTGACAGGGTGGTGATGCATGCGATTCTCACAACATTTTCACAACTTCTGATAGCATCCACTATACTTGCCTTTGCATCAATGTGTTCGTTCTATTAATATGTATCAACTACAACATAAAAATTTCCTGTCATTGTGGAGCAGTGAAAATCAACCAAATTTACTGGTGAAACCGTAACTAGATGTCCGATGAAGGTGACTACCAGTCAACCAGAATGTCACTGTTCACAATAGCAGTTGCAGTGTCCTTAGTTCTGTCGCACCTGTTAACGCTTCCAGGGTCAAATTTTTTTGTGAAGTGCAGTCTAAAGATGGGTAATTGTTTTTTTGCTGAAATGAGTTTTTCAGACCTTCTTATTCAAGAAAAAGATTGTCTAAAAATTTTTTGCATGGTCGTAAAGTCTGGGATGGAACAGCTGTGCACCAACTTTGTTTACCTGCACTGAACCACCCCTGTTGTGCCAAACTCATTTATTGGCGGCATACTGCATTGCACCCGCACATGACCGACGACAAATAGTTACGCTACTTCATGCGCGGCGTTAAAGAGCAATTGTTCGCCGGACTTTTGCGCAACCCGCCAAGCACCGTTACAGACTTCATCAAAGAAGCTACGGCTACCGAGCGAGCGCTTCACCTACGATGCCGACAATACAATCGCCTGTCCAGCACTGCCCACATTCAAGTTGCCGCTACGACATCTGACAATCAAAGCTCGTTGCACGATTTAATACGAGAGATTGTTCGCGAAGAGCTGCTGAAGCTCCGGACTCTGGTCACGGAACCACCCAGAGCGACTGTCACTGAAGTCGTCCGCGAAGAAATACGCCAAGCATTTTCAACAGCTGATCCTACTCACGATCAGCGACCTATGAGTTACGCAGCCATGCTTCGCCGCACCCTGCCCGTTGCCTCGTCGTACCGCCAGCCATCGGCAGCCGTTCCTTGGTCGCCACCGCAAGAACAGACACCGCGGTGCCCTGCCGTCTTGCCGCCGTACGAAGAGCTGTCTTTCAACGAGACACAGCATTTGCCACATTACGAGCGATTGCGGTGTCCACAGCTTCGTAAAACAGACGCCTGGCGCACTGTAGATAGGCGTCCGCTTTGTTTTACCTGCGGAGGTGTGGGCTACGTTTCCAGTCATTGCTGGCACCGCGTCGATACGTTTCGACCTCTTCAGCAATGGTCTGACGATCAACGCGCCAACGACGACTACGCACCACTCCGGGACGCTGATTCTCAAGGACCCCCCTTGTCTCGGTCCCATTTTGTATAGCAAGTTGAGGTGGTTGAGGGGGGTCGGCAAAGTAATAAAAAAACGAGAGAGACAACGGGTGAGGAGGCCCCAGATGTCGGTTAACAGGATTGCAGCCAATGAATGTAGGGGATGTGTTTATTGCAGATACAAAGAAAAGCAATACCACACACAGCAAGGGCAAAGGGGGGGAGGGAGCGAGTAAGGTGGCTGAGGGGGATTGGCAAAGTTATAAAAAACGATCCAACAGGTGAGGAAGTGCCAGGTGGTGGTTAGCGGGACTGCAGCGGATGAATGTAGGGCGTGCGTTGATTACACTGGGGAAAAAAATCCCAATTTTGATGTCTGAAGTTGGGATTTTTTACACCTACAGCGAAAAAGACGCACACATGCGACACACAAGCCAGAACTCATGGAACTGCTCTTTGTCAGTTTGTCAGAAAACGAAACTTCTGAATTTGAGCCAGAATGGCTGGCGTTGCGGAGCGGTGGAGACGGGTAGAGGAGTTGCGATAAAGGGAGGAGAGCATACCTGAAACTGAAGGTCAAGGAGTTGCGATAGGGTGGAGAGAGGGGAGGATACTGCGGGATGGCGACTTTGAAAACCAGAATATGCAAGGTGTAAGGCAGGTCGGGTATCTGGTTTAAAGGTTCGTGAAATGTGCAACTCACGCGTAGAAAAACTTGGGAGAGTGCCTGTGCGCAGAGGTCAAAAAATCTTTTTGTGGTACCAGTGAGTTTGCACGGCCTCAGTGATGTGATTCGTTTCGTGTAAAAGCCGTTTTTACACTTCCACATGAGTGCAGAAGGCATGCCGAGAAGAGTGTGAAGTGAGCGAGAACAGGTCCTAAACCCACTTTGCCAAGGTATGTGCGCTATGTGTGCTGTGACCGAAGCTACCACGCCGATGGGTAGCCCCTTTGTTGGGTCTTTCTGGCTTGTATGCCAGGAGGCAGGCCCCCATCTGTTTGACCCCGAGTGGTGGCCCCCTTGTAAGGGTAATGCCCAAAACAAATTTTCCCTCTCACCAACCCTGGAAGGGAGGTGGTTCTGGGACAGATGTACGAATGATGATAGGTTCATGAGTTATGTGAGACTCTAATAAAGTGCCTCCAGGCATTGCGGCCCACACAATGAATTGTGAATTATCAGATTCAATGGGGTAGTATACGCACATGCACTGGAACGATACGACACCGATCCAGTCAAGACTGAGATAATCAGGTACAGTTGGTGGCCCACGATCTTGGCAAATGATCTGGTCACTCCAGGCTGGTGATGCCAATGACAAAGGCAGGAATCAAAAAGTGAGGGGAGACTGGTTGGCCGACCGGTCTTCGCAAGATTGGTGGCAGTGTAAAAACACGGACTCGTCTGGCAATGTGAGTTTGAGTTGCTCAGAATAGGGGCGGAGTTAAAGAATGGAGGGAAGCACAGCAAAAAAAACGGTTGGGGAGGGCGAGAACCTGAGGGGTGCGGAGGCAAGGTCAGCATTTAACAATAATAATCTATGGGCACCTCGCCATTGGCTTATCGGTGGTTGGAAGTGGTTTCAGGGGAAGTCGCCATAGCGCCAAGTCGGTTTGCTGTAACCAATTGGTGACGCTCAGACACGTTCGTAAGTGTGATTTTGTGCCAATGAAATAATGCATATTTCCACGGTCACCTGGGTATGTTATGAACGATCGATTGACTTTTGAAGCATCGATTTAAACAGCGGCCCTACAGTAATCACCTCATGTTGTTTGCGAATGCCTGAGTGGCAGAAATCAGTGGTTATTATAGATTTTCTTTTGTTTACTGTCACTAGTGTTGAAAAAAGCAGAGCAGGCATGCTCTTCTTTAGGATAGTTCTGCAAGCTAACGTCATCTTCACAGGCGGAGAAAGCACATTGAGGCACAGAGCAGTACTTCACCATTGTGCAGGACTCGACTGCCACAGAGAAAAAAATATATTCGTTTGAAACACACTGTGCCCAGAGAAACTGAATGAGGAATTTTCATCACCACCTTGATATCCACAGAGACGTGTGATGGGTTCACTTGCTTGGAGGACCAGAGCCGGGACGGTGATGCTGTTGACGGCCTCGACTGGGCATTCAAAAATATGGCCTGCATCGTACATGGCCATACCGTGACATTTCCCAAACTTGTAGATGGTGGAGAAAGGCACGCTTGTTAAAATATCGAAAGAAACAAACTAATCAGTATTGAAGGGCAGAAACTGCAGCTGACCAACGAGGACTCGCACGACTTCACTTTTTTACAAGCAATGTGGTCGTTGGCATCGGTGTGCTCGTCGGCCATCCAAAAGATTTCTCGCCATGTGGATCGGGCCCCAACTCAAACAAGTTCATAACTGTGCTCGAAAACATTCCTTGCAGGCTGTAGTTGGCTTTTGTGGGGCTGTTCGTTCGACAAAGTTTTCACCTGAAACAGACGATCCATGTACAGGAGCAGCAGCTCCTGCATCGCGGTTTAGAGCAGTCTCTCCACTTTCATGTCACACATGAGAAGGTGCCACACCGAAATCTCGAGTCCAATAGTTTCGGTTTTTTCAAGCAAAGATATTATGCTTGAACCATGTCAAGTTGTGATCTTGAGAAGTTACTACGACTACATTAAGTAGACAGGTCCTACAGTCGAACCCCGCTACAACGAAACTCGCAGGGTGCGGAAAATATTTTGTTGAAGCGAGAATTTCGTTGTAGTGAAATAAAAAAAATATAGTTGATCAGAGCTAGCAAGACAAAGGAACGTTCATTTTTAAATTAAAAAAAGTGTCTGCTGCTTCCTATTCTTTCCCAGCAGCGTCACGACGCGATTCACAGTCATCCATAGCAAGGCCATGGTGAAAACCACGCTGAAACAGCGCCTACAAACACTTTCATAAACGTACCAAACAGTTGCATTAACACGTTAACACCAGCAGCCGTCGGCCGTCGTGTGTATCCGACAACGCCGAGATGGAGGCAGGGTGTCGTGGAGCAGTTACTTTTGCCTTATTTTATACCATTCTTATCATCCATCACTCGCGGCTAGCAGATTTGGTTCATAATGCGGACGAACAGCTGCTCTGATTAGGTACAACGCTGGTCAAGCGCGAATAAAACTATAAGCATTGGAATACGAAAAGGCATCACTCCGCGGTTACACAGAGCAGCTTCTGTGTGAAGAAAACCATGAACTGAGCTTCAGCTTCAGATCGTCTGCGGCTCGAAAGCAAGCCAGTGGCAATAGCAGGGCCATCCTCCATGCAGCAGGGCAGTCTCATTGCCATCGCTATCGAGCAATGGCGGCACCCATGCTTGCTGAACAGCGACGGTTTCTAGAGGTGCTATCGTGTGTTGTAGACCTCGTCGACGCATTTTGAGGTTCTCAAAATGCATCAAAGTGTTAAATGATTGGGTTTCCTGTATAGCGATAAATATCTGAGCCTGGAATTGCATCGTGAAATTTCATTGAAGCGGTACGGCTGAGGAAAGTGTGTTTGTTGTGGCGACAATATTTATGCATTGACTCCTTTGCGACTGCTGACGGGGAACCGTGAATTTTCCGTTGTAGCAGAAATTTTGTTGAAGCGGCGTTCAACTGTACTGTCATAATTGCAATATCCATTTATTTGTGGTAAGTGCAATGAAATTAGTCATCTTTGGAAATTTTTGGAGAAAATTAAAACTTTCCATGGTGCCTTGAGTCCTTGAAGAATGTGCAACAGGACATTTTTCAGCCCTTAAATATCCTTGAAATTTTTTTTAACCTGTACAAACTCTGATACATTGCAATTTAGCTTAGAATAAGGCCTAATAACAAGTCAGATTAATGCCATGTTTTGTGGCAAAATCAGGGCCTTAGTCTTTTTTGTTCGATAGCGAGCATGCAGCTCGGCTGTGAAGTGCATTGTTTTCACGAACAAACGAGCAAGTCACGTGTGCACGGACTATGAACAGTGTATGAGAAATGGCACCATATGTGAACAGTTCCAGTTGTTTTGTCATTGACCTAATGAAACGTGTGAAACATCCTTGTACTATGTGGCTGCCAAAGGGGCCAAGCTCATATGTTATCTCGTAGTGAAATGGCAGGTATCCCGTTACAGGCCTACCAAAGCGGGCCGTGGGGACCCAAAGGAAGCAGTCAAGGTCAAACCAAGTAAACCCAACAAGACCAGCAAGGAGCACAACAGTGACCATGATAGGCAAGTTTCTTGGTGGTGCCATCCTGAAGGTGCCAACATTTTCCTGATGTGCAGTCCCTCCAGGCGGTGCTCAATGCCATCGAGTCGACCGGCCCAGCAGGAAGCTTCCTCTCCGAAGCAGCCCAACGGACACACTGCACCCCCTCGTCCAGCACCTGCCTCCCAGTCACGCTCCAGGTGAAGATATTTATGGCATTTTTGGTCATAAAGGAACAACACAGCTCGGGGTTAATTTGATTGAAATACCATTCCAGAAACCTCATAGTGTTTGCTTCATGCCCAGGAAATGCTTAGTTGGAAACAAAATCACATTTCAAAGGTCTGCCTACTCAATTCAAACCTCTCAAGGACTGAAGATGTGAACACCTTCCCAGAACTACCTTCAGCGGCATTGCACCAGCACCTCTTGTTATCTAGAAACATTGCGCCCTTACTGAAAACGTATGGAAGGATTTTTGTTACGTTTGTTTTGCTGGCCTCTGCTGCTTGCCTGTGATTCGATGTTTTCTGCTGAAGTGCTAGATACCGTATAGACCTTATAACGTGAAAAATCACCATAGTCTCAAATATCTGCTCTATAAGCGATACCACACAATAACCAAAACAGCCTATTTCAAGGGCCGCGCTTGCGCAGAACGTGTTGAGCATGCAGCCTCATGTGTCTAGAGAATTGAAGCGTGCAATGCGTAGTGTTTACAGCGTTTAAATTTCCGAATGTTAAATAAAAAATTTTAAGTCCTTAGACGCGTTGCCAACGAAATGAGCGTGAAAAAGGGGGAGGTCTAACAAACAAAAGCATCGTCGCGAGAATTCGCCTACTACTTCTAAGACCGCCTCGATTATGCGCATTACACAAAAACTATGTCCAATCACGTCTGAAATTCGATGCGGTGAAAGACACCAATCACTCAATTTCACGGTTCGGAGACATCGCAATCGAATTGTGAGTCATAATTCGAGTGGTGCCCGTGCACCCTCGTTTTCATTTATGATTCGTCCAGTGCAGTGAGCACAAAGAGCTTTGTTGATTCCGTACCAAACCGCATTTTAGCAAGCGACTGCTAGTAATACGCAAGCAACACCAATTAGGCCTAGATTGGTATGTTGTCACAGGAAGTTTGACCAAGACATGAAGATCCGGCGTTTAAAAGACCACACTCAAGCACTGAACCAATTACAGTATGTGTGATATGAATGACGCGTTCGCGCCTGGTAGATTGACGAAAATACGCCAAGCTTATAACGTAGGCAGCGTACTGGTAGCAAAGGTGAAAGCTCTCGTTATAAAGCCGTAAAAGGTTTTAAATGCACAGATGATGTAGCAAACGCCACATCTGTAGTAAGCTGGAAAACAACCTTTTACCAGGCAGGGAACTGTTTAGCACAGTTGATGAAGACGAAATCACACATGCCTTTTAAGTGCGCACGGTCGAAGCCACGCTAGTACACAGTGGCGACGGTGCCAGGGCTAAGGCTTATCCGTCGCCGAGGCAACCACCCATTTTTTTTTCCCCTTTTCTTTTTCTTCCCTCCGTCCATCGTTTGTTGCTCCGCGTCCCCACCTCCTTCATAACAACTTTGTCGCTCGCTCTAGTGGCGCACTCGCTACCGCATTTGTCCCAAAGATTTTGCGGCAACTCTATTATAGCCAGTCCTTTAGTTTGGGGGGGTACTGCACGATGAGGGGTATGCGTATGCAGTAAAACCTCATTAATTCGAACTCAGTTATTTCGAAATCCCACTTAATTCAAAGTATTTCCGCGGTTCCGTATTTTGCTATGTCAGTTTGAGTGGATAATTTGAAGCAGCGATCGACACCAGTCCAGTCAATTCGAAAACTCTGGGTGCCATGTGCCAGTTCCAGATCCTGATTACTTCGCAAATTTGTGGAAACGACGGCCCGAAAACTCTGGGTGCCATGTGCCAGTTCCAGATCCTGATTACTTCGCAAATTTGTGGAAACGACGGCCCTAATAGCCACAAAGCAATGCAGCGTAGCGATACTAATGAGTGGCAGCTAAAGCACTGGAGCCTCGCTACTCTCAGCACAAAAAAAAAAGGGGGGGGGGGGGGGGAAATTGGCCCCGTATCTGCATGTTTCTGCAAATGTCATCGAAAGACGATAGCCTTGCGTGTGGAGAGAATGAACAAAACATTTATTTTATGTTCTGCGCAAGAAAATCGGTGAATGGTATTCTGGAGATACTGCGTTAGAGTGCCTCGAGCGTGCAGCGGAGGCGAAGGATCGCATCAAGTCACGTTACACGTGAGACACGAGCGCCATCTGGCATTTTCTTGCAAAACGAAGTGCGTAGCTCTGAGAAAGGGGTGCGCGCCCATCTCAGAGGTGATAAAGTGTAGAACGCAAGGCGATGGTGGGTGCCACCACCGTCTCGTCTTAGCAAAGCGTTGGAAACAGTCCCCGTTCCGTGCAAGCATTGCATGGTCAGCACAGCGTGATAAGCGCTACGGTCCTCAAAATTGCTTATGTATGCCTTTTCTAGTAAAAGACGCACATGCAGAATATATACATGTTGTTATGGAGCCCCAGACGTGCACAGTAATTGATTTTTAATTGATGATTGCACAAGCATGAATGCTCAATCTTGAGCAACTTGATGGGCGCTGCAGGTGGGGTCGGCCGTTTCAAGTACCCGATGCCGTTAAGTGTGGACAAACAGACAAATGTGCAGACAGACAGACCAAACTTTTTGCGTCGAAGGTCCCCAAGAAAGACTATCGTCTTTAAGAAACTGTTGTGGTCAACCAAAACGTGCGCCTGCGGAAAACGAGACGTGCTTCACTGCAACATAGTAGTGACACGCAGGCAGCATATTGCATGTTTCTCGCAGTGTCAGTAGGTCATGGTTTACTCATTCTTTCTGGCATTGTAAAGAAATCAACAAAAGATGTTTTGGCGAAATTCGCGATGTATGCGAACCTCCGATTGCCGGTTGCTGCAGCAATTTGCGCTTTTGTACTGCTGGCAGAGTTCTTACCAGCAACAAATACTTCGAGAACCAAGTTCAAAAGTTTCAAAGATAACTTTTTTCCAGCGAAAACATGTCGCAAGTTTCGTCATACTAGCCATTATTGAATTCCTAGTTATACTAGAGAGAATGTGCGAATGGTCGCATCATTACGTTCTGGCGCAGCGAGGAGCAGGTGACCTACTGCCTACGTGTCACTACTGTATTGCAGTGAAGATACCTTGTTCTCAGCAGGTGCACATTTAAGTTTATCACAACAGCGTTTCTTGTTTGTTTTGATTTTTTTTTCCGATGGCAGCAGCGAGGCCCATCGTTCCCCGTGTTTGCGGCAAAATTAAGACCAGGTATTGCTGGAAAACATAATCCTTGAAGCCACAAGCTAGCCGGCACAGCCAATGACAAGCCCTGATTACTTTGCATTTTAAGTTCCTTGCATCGGGCTTTCTCTATGTTTTGTTAATTTGAAAACCCGCTTAATTTGAAGATTTCTCACGGCCCCAGTGACTTCAAATTAGCGAGGTTTTACTGTTCATGGGGTTTTGTGGGGGGGTGAACGGGAGTCACAAAAGACCGCATTGTAACCGGTTCTGCACTTTAACCGGATATGTTATAAGCGGTCTACACTCTACTTGGACAGTATGGTGTAGTCTGGAAGCTGCATGCGATTCTGATCGTCAGTGCGGGAATATATTCGCTTCATGTGTACGTTTGTGCTGGGGCCAGTCGGTTAAGGCCGCTGGTGCGTGGCGCCGCCCAGGTGTGCCATCATGAATCTATGAAATTCATGTGCGCAGTTTTCACTTGTGCGATAAGTGTCGAACTAATGTTCATCCCCTTCAAGATGCCATGTGGAAAGCACCTGACGACTCGTTTGGCTTTGAGTGAGGCACAGAGGGCTTACGAAAACAGCTGCTTGAGTGATTTGCAGTTCTTCCTATAATTACAGTTTCGCTTTTTAAACCGTGTCTTTATTCTTTCATTTACGTTACGGGGGCATGAAGGATCTAGACTAGACTGAAGAGACAATGCTGTGCTGGTGGCACAACTTGGCTTACGTTAGAATTCATTTAGTTGGTCTCTGCATGTAAAACAAGGAAGCACATGAGTAGCTTGGACACTTGGGGCATCAGAATTCCCTCCGTTCAAAGGTGGTTGATTTCTTTGCTGCAGCAGAAGATACATGGACGTGGCATTTTATGTAAATTGCAGTCAGAGCGAGCTTTGCAGCCAGAAAAGCCAGGGCAGTAATATGTGATTATGGAACTATTCTTGAGGTGCAGCCACGTGAGCATGACGCAGCTGGCAAAATTGAAACTTGTGAACCATAAGCGCAGTTCATAACGCTAAGTTCTTCTTTGCACTAACCAAAGAGAGACGTCCTAGCAGAATTTTATCATGTCTTGTAATGTGTGGAGTATTATTTTTATTGACACGCTTCTTTCTCAAGTTTCGCATGTAAGTGCTGCTTTGCGCAGCCATGCAAATTGACTAAAGAACCATCGAGATAATCGTAGAACCTTCCGATGCAATTACGCGCACAACGTAAACATTACAGATTCTTGTGGAACTTGCGTGGCCGCTAGCAATAGTGCTGGAATATTTGACGGCGTATGTATAAATGTCAACGTGATTCATCGTTTGTCAGTTGATCAATGGCCGATGCTCTGTTCACCGCTTCCAGTGTGTATTTCTGTAAGCTTACTTTCCGTTTACCAGCCACACGTTCGGCCAAATAAGCATTGTCATTTCGGACTAGTTGTTTCTGCCTTCGTCGACGACACAACCCCGTGACATTATTATAAGTACTATTCATTAATTGTACTCGTTGCTTTTGACCTCATGGGGCTTAGTATTCGAGTATGTCTCACTGACAGCACATGTCTGGCATTTACTACCCTTATTTGTCCATCAGTAGAGCACAGTTTTTAACAACATGGATGAATTAGATGTTTTGAGGCTTTCACTCTGGCATCGGTTCTTTTTTGCCTTTAGCCATGGCATGCCACATTCTCATAATGAGAAGTGGTGGCATGCATAGTGCTTCCTGAATTCGTGGTCTGAAAAGTTTTGCTAACTAAGATATGTTTGCTTGCCCTTTCAACTCTTGTTGCTGACAGATTATGATTGAGTGTGACATGGCGTTTCTGCAGCCTGTTTAGAACATTGCGTCTCCTAAGCACAGTCAGTGCTAACTGCAAGTTGTACAGTGCTCAACACAGAGTGCTTTTTCACTTTTCTCATGCCGATTGAACATAACTCAATCATTTTTGTGATAAAATTGGAAGCCTTCTACCTGCCAGCAATGCAAACAGAGTTGTACCAAAGTACCGACATCAACATAAACAATACTTGTACCACTTAAAAAGGCATAACATTAGTAAAACGCTGACTCAGTGGCAGCTGCGAGAACTAGCGGCTTTGCTTGACTCATTGTCCAAATGCAATCAGTGGCTGCCAAGTGAACTACTGCTTTGTTTTCAAGAGGCACCAAGCCAGCGGACAAGTATTTCCGCTTGAGTGAATTATCCAATATTTCACCTGTGCAATTAGTGTGTGAGGTGCTGTCTCAAAGCTGCTTGCTAGGACTCCTTTCATTTGTCCTGCCACAGGTCTCGCAGCAAGGGTCACCGACATTCCCCACGGAATTCACCACACCACCGTCACAGGGACTCACGATCACCATCCTACAACTCGTACCGCAAGTGAGTTTCACTTTTGTATCATAAAGCCCTGCAAAAGCTGCTTTGTTACAAATGGAGCTCCGACTTTACTGTTGAGACTATGTAGCACACAAAGGAATAAGATGCATGCTTCTGACTAATAAAAGGAGGCTTTTTATTCTATTGCCTGATTTTTTTTTTTTTTGTAAGAATTGTGGGTTTTATTGTTTCGTACTCCCCATGCCCCCCTACTGTGAAAGGCAATCCAACATGGTTTGGAGGGGAAGTGGCCTTTGCTCAGTCACAGGTCAAAATTCAAAATGATGGTAGAAGAGTTTCATGTGCTTCCAATGAAATGCTTTATTGAATACGCATCCATTCACTGTTTGTTGTTGCTCATCCTCATGAGTCAGCTGAATAAAAACAGTGGAAATGGAGGGAGGACACTTGCTCGGTCATTGGCGCGTCTGCAAGATTCAACTTTAGAACAGACAAGACACCTGAACAACAGGACCAGTGCTGAATCGGTGCTTGTTTCAAATTCCCGCAAAAGGGAAAGGGCTGCTTGCTCGAGTAGGGATGTTTGCTTGGGACTTTGTAATAGTGTAAGAAATATATAATCAGCATAAAAAGTAAGGCTCTCATTTTAATTGTGTTAGAATACACTTTTCAACATACAAATTGGAGCCCACAGTACTCAGAAGCGTCTCCGCTTTTTCCACGAACACAAAAGCACTGCAATAGCACTTGACTGTGGAAACACTGTTATGTGAGTCAAACCCTCCAGGCGTGATGAGGCTCGCACTTGAGCCATCGGTGTCCTCTCGCGACTTCGGTCTCGAGCGTCGTTCTCACCGCTCTCTCTGGCAGAAAACGCTTGCGGAACAATCCCAAAATTGTGGTTCTCCCTGCAGACAAAGGCAGCGTTATAGTGCTACTTGATAGTGTCGATTACGACAACAAAATGATGGCTCTGTTTTCAGACAGCAGCATGACCTATCCTCTGGGAAGGACCCCGCAATGAGACTTTCAAAGGTAATGGGACTTTCCGACGTATTCCGTTGCATTCCACCTCAACACAATCCCCTGTACTACTCCCTCCTTTGCCATAATGGTTCTGTGCCAGCGTTGTACGGATTGCTCAAGATCCATAAGCCAACATTCCAATGCACCTCAACGTACCCCTCCATTAGCTGTCTGGGTGCCAGCATCAACTACTGCAATCACTTGTTGGCAGAAGCAACATGTACATTTGACATTCCGGTGGCTTCATAGACAAGGTTCTTGACATCGCCCTCGAGGATGGCAATACCCTGGTGTCTTTTGACGTTCTGTCTTTATTCACCAGCATGTCCAGGCGGTCGCGAGCCTTGCTGACGAGGACATAGTAGCTGCGGTCGCAGGGACCCAGGATGTCCAGGCCGACAGGTCATGTGACGTGAGAATCGTCCAGATGAGGCGCTGGCTACACGCATGTACTCCACCGCTGAAGTCGCGGCAGCATTTGGCGTCATTCGCCATTGTTTCAGCCACATGGAGGCAACTAGGCTGTTGCACCTGAACAGCCTTGATAAGATGAGACTAGTGTTTTTAACATTTCCAAAACGAAGAAGCAGGCCAAAGTAAGCGATTTTCTTTTTATGTAAATAAATCATTCTGTTGTGGCGTGTGTGCGAAATTAGCTGTCATTCTTGAATGGGCCTATTGTAAGTGATGATCCGCTACAGGTAAGCTCTTGGGGCCTGTATTTTTTTATATCGAATTTTTTATATATCAAACTTATTCGTGTTCGACTGTACTACAAAAGGGGAAGCTGTCTGTGACTATCCTAGCGAATATGTTCCAAGCAGCTCCTGTAAGCACACTGTCATATGCTGTAAACATTCACTTCAGTGTGCCAAAGTCGGGTGTGCCAAAGTAAATTACACAGCAATAGTCGATGTCAGGGGGCCTTTTCCGGATAGGTAGTCTGAGCCTATGCACCACCATACATTACTTGATTTGCTGTATGGACGAGGAAAAAAGCCATTGCACTTTGCTGTATTCTTTGGTATACACCGATTGTAATGCGGAACCTAAATGCCCGTGAACTGCGTGCATTCCACAAAGTGGTTGCGCTGCTGCCTGTGCGTTTTGAAGTACTCATTGCCGGTCTTGATTGTGAAATCAACGTTACGTGGTGAGAAAACTGCACACTTGAAAACTGAATCATGTGAACACTGACACATCATAAGCCACTGATGTTTGATTGCCCTGATCTGATTGTGGAAAATGACAGTCAGACAGCTAATATGGAGTGATCACCCAAATAGTCTAGACCAGTCGTTTTCAATATTTCTTCATGCATGCATATTCCGTAACAATATGGAGAACTACCCAACAGATTCCCATCCACTTGTTACAACAAACTGCAATGTGAAAGTGCTCTGCGCTGTCAGTTTGCTCATAACAAATTGCTCCATAACAATTCTGCAGCATCTTTGCTATGTGGGTTTTTTGCTGCTCAGACAACAGAAATGCAATGCTGGTTTCAATTTTTCATCTATTTTTTATTCGTACAGTATTTTTGAACAAAGAACTGTGGGGCCAGTAGCCAGAGGTTAGTGTAGGCCCATAATCAATATACATATAGCATGTACAGTCGAGCCCACATATAATGGCCCCACTTAAAACAAACTTTCACGTAAAACGAACAATATCCCCGTGACCGTGAAAATATACATTGGTTCAATGGCACAAAATCGCACTTACAACGAATGTTTCCGAGTGCTGCTGATCAGTTACAGCGAACCCAGTCAGCGGTTTGCTGACTTCCCAGGCAAAATCAATTTCGACCACTGATCAGGCATCGGCGAGGTGCCCATACATTCCTATTGTTAAACGTCCACCCTGCCTCCGTGACCCTTTAGTTGCCACTCTCCCCAACCCATGGAGGAAGGAAAGTTGTTTCCTTCCTCCATCCCCCGACTGCTTTTTGTTCTTGTTTTTGTTTTTGCTCCCCTCCGTCCTTTCTCCCCCCGCTACTCTGAGCACCCCGCATCGCCAGACGAGGCCCGTGTTTTCACACTGCCACCAATCTTTCGAAGACCAATCGGCCATCTACCTTGTTTTTGATCGCTGGTACAGTTGTTGGTGTCGCTGGCCTGGAATGGACCAGACCATTTGCCAACATCGTCGGCCACCGACTGTATCCGATAGTCTGCGTCTAGTACACGCGCGTACGCTACCCCACCAACTCTAACAATTTGCGATTCGTTTCATGTTTAGGACTTGTTATCGCTCACTTCACACTCGACTCAGCATGCCTTCCACGCGCGTGCGGAAGCGCGAAAATGGCTAGTAATTTGCACGGAACGAATCTCAAAATATCGAAGTTGGTGAGGCCACGGAATCTCGCCGGCTCAACAAAATGATTTCTTGACCATGGCCGCCGATTCTTCGAACACCGCCGCGCGCACCGTTCCAGGCGGCCGTGCTTTGACTTCTGCGCGTGCAGGCACTCTTTCCCAGTTTTTCTACGTGCGAGTTTCGCGGACCTTTCAAGCAAGCTACCCAACCTGCCTCCTTCCTGTGCGTCTTGGTTTTCAAAATCGCCCTCCCCCCGCATTTTCTCCTCTCTTTATCGCTACTTTTTGCCTTTCTCTCACAAGCCTTCTCTTCTCTCTTGATCACAACCCCTTCACCCGTCTCCACCGCTCCTCGATGCCTTCCACGCTGGCTCGAATCAGTTTCGTTTTCTGACTGGAAACGTGCCCAGAGCTGTTCCACGCGTTCTGTCATGTGTGTCGCCTGTGTGCGTCTTGCTCGCTCTTGGTGTGCGTGTGTGGTCATGATGGCCGACGGGAGGACTAGCACGCTTTTTCGTGCCGCTCAACAAAACGTCGAAAGTGTGATCGCTTGGCTTGAGCGTATTCCGCGCGTTAGGTGCTGCGTTGCGGAGTGCTTGCCCATAGCTGTTGACCACGTGGCAGCCAACTTGCCGCTTCGGGCGTCCCGGTATTCAGCTGTGGAGATGGTAAATATTTCAAGGGCAGCGGTGACGGCTACATGTGCGCGCAACTATTTTCGCGAGGCCGACTTCGTCGATCGTTAGGCCCAATGTCGAGCCTGAAGCTTCCGAACAGGACCACTGTGGCGGCGATTTGTGGCAGCGCGTCATCGACTCCGACCTGGGAGAGCGTGTGGGACATCTGTTGCGATGTTTAATTACAGCTGATAAAAATGCCGACACTGCGGAACCGTGCACAGATTGGGGCATTGTGAATGAAGTACGTGGCGAGAGTGATTTGGAGGAATCGGATTGCGAGAACGACGAAGCTTTGGAGCCCGTGCCTCATGCAGCTTATGCCGAGGGCCTTGGCGAACGAGTACCCTTCCGTTTCAAATGAACTCAAGACCGCCCTTATCGTTTCTGCTCTTGTACATGCATCAAAACACGTGCATCACGGACTTTTGCATCACAGCATGAAACACGTGCATCACGGACTTTTGGGGTCAAAAAAAGTTTGTGTTTTCACTCGCAACTTTTTTAGAAGCTGTGTTTAATTTACTACGAACTTCGGCATACAGCGAACGGATGCCGCGTCACGCTCAGGGTTGTTATAAGCGGGCTCGATTGTACATGCAAACGAAGCTGATATGCTACACAGCTCGCTATTTATTGTATTCTGCAATTCGTTAAGGTATTTTCCTGAGAATAATAGCATGGTACCATCGGCATAAATAACGGAAGGCTTCAGCAAATTCAGCGTGAATTGAAAATTAGTGTTCTGAATGCCTGAACTGTGCAAATATATGGTATATAAACAAAACACAGGGTAAAATTTCAGGATATTTTTTTACGACTACTACATAGACCGCTGATAACATAAGTTGCCCAAGTTGCAAATGTCCGCACTACAGCCGAAACAACGTTCTTCATAGGATATACCTACACTAGCACATAATGTATTGAGCATGCAGTCTTGCATGTCCGAGTATCGAGGCATGCTATGCTGTGGGCTTATAGGCATTCAAATTTTTTAAAATTTAACATCCAGTGA